AATACGCGACTGACTATTCTATTGATGTCAACCGTAGGCGATTGCTTCTGAAATCCCCGAAACTAGTGATAATCAGAAGCAGCAGGGTCTGGAGAATATGGAGGATGAATCAATTTTTCACAAACAATCACTTCTACGGGATATTAAGTCAGTCGTGTAGTGTGAAAACAAGCATTATCCTGATGGAAGTTTACTCCCACCCATTTTGTTGATTGACGATAGACTTTTTTTCTCTTGTCCAAAGCTGCTTTCAAACAAAGAAATTGTTAGCAGAAGAGATCAGCTGATTTTTTTATTACTCTATGATTCTTTGAATATGTCACTATACACTTACAGTAGATCTCTTCTTGGTTGCTGAGCAGGTCTGTTTGTTAAACAGATCTGCTGAAAACGGTACTTAACATTATGTTAAAGGATCTATTTTCTCTCGCCAGTAAGAAGCCTGTCCATAAAAGGTGTACTTGGAGCTGTCGTCTAATTAAGAACTCCCAAACATCTACGCGTTGTTGGCGATTCTCTGGAGACAGGTTTTATTGGACCCATTTTCCAACTACTGAAACTTTTACAATAATTTTAATTCGCGTGGGACTGTCGTATGATTAAGAGTAAGTTTATCGCTAAGTTCCCTAGCCATAGTGGCAGGGATTACTGTATAAGCAACATCAAAATCGAATTCTTTTGGCTGATCATCTAAATTGCAACTGCCATCTTTGAAACGGAAATACCACCTCCTGAAACTCTTTTCCTCCATTGCTTCGACCACTTCGACGCTGGATGGGTTCTGCAGAGGCACTTGCGTTGACACCTTTATGAAACACATAGAGTACAGTATTACATTTGGATGAACAACGGAGCAAGTTCTGAACAATATTAGAATTAATATTCTTATAATCTGAAAGATAAAGATATAAGTGACACATTGTTGCATTATTAAACAATTGAAACGGGCGATACTTTAATAAATTTTCTTTAACATTTTTATCTCAAAAGATGTACTGAACTTTTGTTCGAACTAGAAGTTCTGTAAAAACAAATCCCTGCTTGACTGAATGTTCTGAGGAAAATTGCTAAAGATGTGAGAATAAATGAACAGTACCAAAGAATTTCGATGCCGGGTGGACTAAATCCCCTTGAATAAGCATTGTCAGATGGATGAAAAAGACAACGTCTTACATTTCGCTGCAGCTGTAAACATGCGCTAGTTATATTGTCTTCTTCTTCTTCTTCTTTATGCCCTGTCGTCTTCAGAGCCTGGGTGATTACGACTCTCCACAACCTCCCGTCCTTTGTAGCAGTTAGTAAGTTTTGTCTTTTTGATATCTCTCCTATTACCTATTCTACCAATGTTAAACGCGAGATAAAAGTGGCACCTTGTTTGATCAAAATTCACTCATTTGGTTGTGAGGTTGGAGTGAACTCAATTTTTAAATCTCCGCTGCAACTGTGGTCATATCCGAATACGGAAAAAGCTACGGAATGAAGTAAAAAAAAAGAAAGAAACAAAAAGATACGGAGTGGAGCCCCAAAGGTGGTTGGCGGTCATAAGTTAAATCTTTACAGCAACTTCTGTAGCCAAGCCGTCCACATAAGTAACACCTTGTATTTCTTTGGCTCTTTGTCGTTACGGCCGAAAGGGAAGTCATGTAGTTTGGGCAGCGTAAGGCCTTCATAAAACATCACCCAGGCTGGCAGCCTAGAAGTGTCACTACAGTCCCAACCAAAATAACTGAATTTTGGACAATCAAGCTGTTACCTTTATCTTGCGAGATAAATGGATGATAACTATAACTATATACATTTTTTAATGTTTAATAAATTCCATTAGTTAAAACTTTCGAAAAACCTATGCCAGTAGAAAAAAATATACTGTTAAAAAGAGAGAAGGACGTCTATTCAAATATGTGTATCCCCTAAATATGACATTATATAGTAATACTAAATACAGTGTAACCCGGATATAAGAGAGTTGTCGGGACCGGAGAAAAAGTCTCTTATATCCGGGTTTGGTCTATTTTATATACATTAACACAGGCTCTAATTTGGGACCAGAGAAAATCTCTCTTATATCCGGATTTCTCTTATATCCGGGTCACTTATATCCGGGTTACATTGTAATACCGAACAATATATAAAAATCTAGTCATATACAGAGTGATTGAAAAGTAACTACAAATTTGATGTGTGAGTGGCCAGCCAGGGGTCCTGACTTAATAGCCTGTGACTTTTTTCTTTTGGCTTGGTTAAAGGTGCAATCTGCTATACCAAACCAAAACTTTGGAAGTACTTGAAGGGCGAGTACAAGAAGTTATGTCATTCATAACACCAGGTCAGATGACGCGATTTCTTGGTGGCTCGAGAAGCTGGTAGCGAAATCTGGTGACCATATTGAATTTTAAATAAAACCTCATGCTAAACATTTTTCTCTCATATACATTTCTTGTAAAAAATATAGACAGTAAATATATTATATGTATTTCAAATCGTGGAGTTACTTTTCAATCATATATATATATATATATATATATATATATATATATATATATATATATATATATAATTATTATTTAAAAAAAAATATAATATATATATATATATATAGAGAGAGAGAGAGGGGGGGGGAGGGAGGGAGAGAGAAAGAAAGAGAGAGGGAGAGAGAAAATTTATATTAAACATAATAAAGAGTTAGTTGAAATTTCTAGGGTGCATAATGAGGAGAGGGGGTTTGGAAAATGTGATGCCCACAGAAAAGATTGAGGGCCAGAGGTAAAGACGAAAACAACGCATAATCTACCGAGCGAAGTTGAGTGAAGGAATGGCGAAGCAAGGTTTAAAAGAGATAATAAAAAGACAACATTTCTTAAGCGCTACGAAGGGCAAGAAATTTTGGTAAGCCATGATCACCTCCGTCTTGAAGGGACACAACACACAAAAAGATATATATATATATATATATATATATATATATATATATATATATATATATATCCAAGCAAGTTTTATCAAATGCCACTGCGAAAATATGTATTTAATAATATAATAATAGTAATTTATCAAATTTGATAAATAAAAAAATAAATGAGTTTGACTTAAGACGTGTGGGTGGATTTGGTTACAGGCAATCCGTCGATCGTTGTGGTAGTACGAAGTCACAAGTCATTGTGGCCGAGTTGATTTTTTTTAGTATACTGGCCATATTCAAACTGTTGATCACTCTAAATTGTGCGCTCTCTCCTAGAAACTGTAATTAATTAGTATATATGCAATATAATCCACGGGTGGTCTCTGTGTGTGCTGAAGAAATAACACAGGAACCTGAGCAGTAAGAGGTTCTGCTTAGTCGCTCTACTGTCGAGCGAGATCGGAAAAGACTTAGCGTCCATTATTACATAGCGATCATAATGAACGACGAGAGAAAATGAAAGAAATAATTAAAAGCGATATATGAGATAGAATGTTATACATTTTTAACTATATTATCCATAGCAACATGTTTCGAAGAAAATCCATAGAATCGCATATTTTCCTGCAGGAAATTCTAACCACATTCTGGATTTATATCTTATTGGAATAAATTCAAAGAGAAAATGATAGTCCTTCTCTGCAGCTCAACTTCGGCCTCCTTTTTCTCCAAGGTTTAAGCTGTTAACACCCAGATTCTTAGTTTCTCTTTCGGCAGAGTGCCATCACTCAGCTTATTAAATTTGCAAAGGGCGATAACCCCGTTGTTTCTTTATGCCGTACTTGTGAAGTGTATAAATAAAACCGTGTTTTGTTGGAAATGTTTCAATTACTTTTAACAGCTGAAAGATTTCTTTTTCTTTCTCAAATAGGTGTTAAGAAGGAAGACGATGCCATGTAATATTAAGATCATTGGGAAGTTTTGTATTAAAAATATTTCTTACCTAACTTCATCAAAGAATTTAGAATTGTTCCCAGTTTATCAAGCTTAGATTAATCTGGCTGCAAGCCAAAATTCTGTGGCGTCTATTAGGGTTCGAACTTACATAACAATCGCTTACAATGCGAACAGATATATCTTTTGCTTTCATTATTTATATTCTGATTAATATCCCCATCCTTATTGTTATTGTTAAAGGTTTTAGCTGTTTCGCTCTCTGGCCTATTTCTTGCTTGTTAATCTGTACAACGTTCAGGGAATTTAAAACACTTTATTCAATATACGGGTATAGATTTCACTCGTTTCGTCGTCAATTTTTATGAATATCTTGTTTTGTTCTTATCTAGTACAACACATAGAAAAGGATATATATATATATATATATATATATATATATATATATATATATATCGCTATATATATATATCTCCCTGTTTTCATTGCGTCTTTTGCCTGTACTGCGGCTTCAAGAGATAAAACTCACAAATATTATGTAACCGAATTCATTAACCATGTGATTGTTGTCGCGTGACCGGAGAGCTTAACGGCCGTAACTTAACGACAATATCTACAAAGATGTCTTCTGAATCGAAATAATGTAAATAATGATAACATCTCATCCCAGAAATTCAGAACTGAATCCAACAGCAAGCCCTTTTTTCGGGAGGTTTTGTGTAGCGTGGAACCATTTCTTAAGTGCTGTTGTTCCCAGGTTCATCCTGACCCAGGGTGGTAGTACCTGTTAAGGTCCCAACTATTAGCAAGTAGTTAAGCCCCAAACTTGGGTCAAAACACTATGAAATTATAACAATAAATTTTTATAATAAAAATACTAGCAATACATTTTCATATAAAAATGTTACCAACAATACATGTTTCTAGTAAAATGACTAACAATAAATTTTTATAGTAAGTTGTCCAACAATACTTTTTTTATCGTTAGTTGAATGCGTACAACTGCATTCAAAATATATTTAGTTGAAGCCATAAAATTGTGTTCAAAATATTTATATTCTGGGTATTAAATAACAAATAGATATGTTGATATGCCACTAAACAAAATCAATCAACCCGACCAAAAATTCAAACATAATCTCATCAGGTTGAAACACAGGTTCCCGTACGATCATCAAAGTTAAGCAACGTTGAGCCTGGCTAGTAGATAAATGGCTGACCTCTTGGGAATAACAGGTATTGTGAGCTTGGGTGAGTCAGTGTATAAAGTCTCCGGATTTTTAATCGTAGAGCCGAGTTCCTATTCCTGTTTATTCTTATTCCCTTACGCACAAATAATGTTGGGAAAGGTATGAATACTCCCCAACTTCATCCCCTCCAGCTATGGGTTAGTTAGTAAGACTCGTATCACTAAAAGATTATTATCTCCCCCTCCCCCCCCAATTTTTACATTATAAAATATTTTCTGGCTTTACATAACTGGGAAAAGTTTGATAAACCGTAGAAGTCGAGTCAATCAACATACACACACGCGCATGCGCACACACACGCGCATGCACACACACACACACACACACACACACACACACACACACACACACACACACACACACACACAGTCCTATAGAATTCACGTTTCCTTCCCCAGTTTTGGGTTAATTAGTTAGGCTAGTATCACTAAAGTATTATTATCTAAAAACCTTAAATCTAAAAATATTTTCTGGTTTTAAATAACCTGGAAATAGTTGATAATCCGTAGAAAAAACTCAATAAAATTTAGACAAAAAGGAAATATCTTTTATTTGTTTTTTTTCTTCCTTGTGTACTGTCAGTTATGTGCCATGCGTGATACACGCTTAGGTGAGCATGCAACTTTCGATACATGACTGACGTGGCAGAATTTTCCCGCAGTAGGTTACCATTTCTTTCTGTGTTAGACCAGTTGCCATTCAAGGCTATAGAACCCCGTCTGTCCTGTTATTTACCCATAGCTGGGGTGAGGAGAAGAGTATTCATACTTTTCCCAAGTAAGTGAATGTAATGGATTTGACTTGAATTCGAATTCGTTTCTGCGATTCCTCAAAGTCGATTAAGAGAAAATTTTGATAGTCGTCTTTACTTCTAGTATTATTCTGATCCTGTACCTTTTGAATTTAAACGACCTTAGTTTCCCATACGTTTTTCATATATAAGGAATATCAACTGAACGCATGCGTTAAGTTTCACAATAGTTCGAATTAATTTGGAATTAGATTGATATTCCCACGGTTAATTATATATTTCTTTCTCCAGAGTTTGAAACAGCAGAATATTGTTCTTTTCAGCTCCTGACAGAGAAAGAAATAATATTTAGAGCTCTGCAAAATATAATAAATAAAAAGGAACTTGACAAAGAAATCAAATACGACAAGAATAATTCTTGATTTTAACCAAGTAAGAAAGAAAAGAATACTGAGCTGTTACGTGACATCTGTCCTCCTTTACGGCAGCGAATGTTGGACGATTTCCTCAAAGATGAAGAAGAGACTTGAGGAGACGGAGATGTGGTTCTACACAAGGATGCTAAGGATATCATAGACCGAGCGTGTGAGCAAAGATGAGGTCTTAAACAGGATGCAGACAAAGAGGAAGCTTATACTTAACATCAGGAAGAGGCAGCTGAAATTTCTGGGACACATAATAAGGAAGGAGGGCATGGAGAAACTGATATTCACGGATCGATTAGAGGGGAAATAGAGAATGGAAAACAATACTTGACATACCTAGCAGGCTTAAGCAAGTGGATGATAGACCGCGGACTGGGGGAGTTGGCAGAGGGAAGGAACTTGTTGAGAGTTGCAAGGGAATAGAGGGAAGTGGAGAGCCATGATCGCCTACTTCCTGAAAGCACATGGCACATAAAAAGATAAAAAGAAACATTTGAAATTTGTCTTGATTGGGCCGAGACCATTTCTTTAGCCTTCTTATATAAATAGAATTACTAATATATCTGTGTCTGCATATCAAACACACAAAGGAAACTACGAGAACTACTGCAGATAGTAGTGAAGGAAAGCGAGAAGAAAGGACTAATCATCATTTGCAAGAAGACAGAATGTACGGTTACTAGCAAAAGTGGCAGATCAAAATACAAATTACAAATTAGAGATACCAAAATAAAACATGTAAAACTGTATAAATATCTAGAAAATGTTTTTAACAGAAAACGGTAAGTGCAATACTGACATCACACTAGGATAGCGAAAGATGCCTTCCAAAAAATGAGCAAAGTATTAAGAAATAGTAAAATGTAGTTAGAAAGAAAAGTGTACTTAATGGTTACGTAATATCACTCCTTCGTTATGGTAGTAAAGGCTGAACACTTCACTCATATATGAGACTTGAAGCAACAGAAAAGGATTTCTACAGGAAGATGTTGAGAATAACACGAGCTGAACTTGTAAAATTTCTAGGGCATATGATGAACAAAGAGAGCTTGAAATATGTGATATTCACATGACAGATTGAATGCAAGGGGGACAGAAAAATACGACACGTGACTTGCATACCGAGCAAGCTTGAATAAATGGATGGCAGCCACAAGCTTTAGGAGATAAAGCAAAAAAAAAAAAACAAAAAAAAAATATATTAAGCGCTATTAAGTATATATTTGAAGATTTTAGGTCTTCTTCCAGGAGAGTTTTGTGGTAAGTCCTTCAAAATACCTATTCCAAAGAGTCTGTAAATTTACTGAACCCATATAAAATGCCAATATATCAGCTGATCTTCAAGACAAGAATCGCCATCGGTCTCTTTAGGAATTTAGATGCTTCTAGAATTTACAAAAGTAACCTTTGGAGAGCTATGATCGCCAACATCCTGAAGGGACATGACACACAAAAGAAGAAGAAGAAGAAAACAAGAAGAGTAAAAGAGGAAATATAGTAGCAGCAGCAAAGGAAGAGTAGAAGAAGAAGGAGAAGGAGGAGGAGAAGGATGAGGAGAAGAAGAAGTAGAAGATGTCTGTATATGTTTTATATGTATTTATTTCTATATTTTAATATTTTTAGATGCTTTTTAGTATATTTAAATATTTTAAAATATTTTTTTTTATTTTAAAAATATTTCTGTTGATGCCTTTTGCGAAATAATACCCACATTTTCTTTCAGATGTTACGTTTTTACACTTGTAACTAAAATATACCAATTGCATATAGCCGATTATTTTGAACTTTTAACGTAGAAATATTTTTCGTCTTCATTTTACCCTTCAAAGATATAAATCTCTTTGAAAGGCAACTCTTGTGATGCAGTTGGCGAATATAATTTACTTCTTCGAACCGCCAATGATTAAATCCGAGTTAAAATTGACGAACTGATCAAAATGCCACCTCAGTGCGGAAATCCGTTTCCAGATGTAAATGATCCGGCGACTAAAATATACCTCTATGTCTATCTTTAATTTATTGATAACAAATGGATCCAAGGATGTATTATCCTAGTTCCAATGAAGGAGAGCGTAAATGTGATATATTTGAAGATTTTAGGTCTTCTTCCAGGAGAGTTTTATGGCAAATCCTTCAAAATACCTATTCCAAAGAGTCTGTAAATTTACTGAATCCATATAAAATGCCAATATATCAGCTGATCTTCAAGACAAGAATCGCCATCGGTCTCTTTAGGAATTTAGATGCTTCTAGAATTTGCATCGAATCTACTTGGGCGCGGAGAAAATGATTGCTCACAACATATAAGGAACAATTTTGACAAGTTCACAGGGTAAATATGTATTCGTTTGTTATATAGGAATAAAGACACTTGGATTTGAACATAGATCACCAGAAAGTAAACAGGCGAATTAAGTGGATCACGTAACCATAGAGGAAATGCATATATAGGTAGTCGCGCGACGTCTAAATGATCGTTATTTCTAGTCTACCCTTTATTACTATTCAGATCACCATTTCTACTCTACCCTCTATTAATATACGTATCGCTATTCTCTACCCTGTTCACTATAATATTTCTCTGTTGAGATCACTATGCGGGTTACTTGTCGAGCAAGTATTATCAATCAAGTACTATTAGCGCGGCGAGTGTTATTCGAAGGCGTCTGACGCCAGTATTGTTCAACGGCGTTACTATAGTTGTATCTGCGATTATAAAGTCTCTACTACAATGAGCATTACGAAAGTGACAACGAGTATTCGATGTCATTACAAAAAGTGGCAACGAGTGTTCGTTGACATCACAAAAGTATTGCCAGAGTTCATTTGATACCGACAAGTGTGCAGTTCGAATTTAGGCGACTTTTTTTCTTTTTACGTGTTTTTAAAATTTACAATGAACATCAACAAGACATAAGGAGATAGTTTTACAGTAGCTAGAATTCATCTGGGATTATATCGGTTTTACTATTAACAATTATTTATTTTCTTTTCTAGAGTTGGAAACAAAAATTGTTTGATTTCAGCTCCTCACGGTGAAAAGAATAGTATTTACACTCGCCAACACTGGCAGCAGATAATCAAAAGAAAATCAGATACGATAATGTGCTGAAAAGTTCCCGGTTTTATCCACTACAAAAGATCTAAGTAAATACACATGACATCAATATTTTTGTTTTTAATTTGTACAGGCTTCTTGACTTAGCGGATAAGTTTGCCTTACCTCTCTTAAGTGAATGCAAAGAAAAATACCTAAATTTAATTTTTTGTTGAAATTTAATTTTCTTGTAAGTTTGAAGTAATAAAATATATATGTCATTCTGCTTTCACAATTGAATACATGGTAGATGATACTCTGCTTTTGTTCATATACATGGTTGTGTGGACATAATTACTAGAGGTTGTTATATGTGTGTTCTATGTTGTAAATTTTTTGAGCTGTATTTGCGAATACAATTTGATTTCTTTAAGAAATTGTAGTATATTATATGGATTATTCCCATGAAAGAGTTCATTCATATTGGCTGTTCGGTTGATTTTGTTTATCGGCGTATCAAACAATATGAATTATTTAATGCCGAAATCTAAATATTTTGAACACAATTTTATGACTTCAACTAAATATATTTTGAGCGCAATCGTATGCCTTCAGCTACAGATAAAATGTATTACTAGTATTTTACTATTAAAATGTATTTTTATACTTTCATAGTGTTTTTTTTTTGGTGGGGGTAACTATTTACCCATAGCTGGGACTCTAACAGGTACTACCACCCCAAGTCAGGGTGGACCTGCGACCAACAACAACTAAAAGGTGGT